AATATTTTCTTCAAATTTACTTGACGACATGGACTCATTGGATTGGTGTAACCGACATATGAGGTCAACCAATTCCCCAACACTAGTATCACAAAACCCTTCTATCGATACAATTCATCAATAAGCTTTCTTTTCTTTGCATGTTTTGAGACGGCCCCCGATTTAACTGCCATGTCATCATCAGGCTCTGAAATAGTGCCATGGGAGATAACTCTTTGCAAAGTTCTTTTGCAGATCTTGGTGGCATTAATTGCTCTTTTGGTGAAACACTCAATTGAGATAAGAGTTTTTCTTCGCTTTGCCTCGCACGTGAACTCTTTTGATGATTTGCCGGGCATCTTTGGACAACATCGTTTTCACTACTACTCTTCTACCTGTGTGCTGACGATCTATGACATCACTTGAGCGTGCTGATGTAAAAACCTGTGCATGTACATTTCACGCTGACACACATTTTACAATGTTGTTGGCTTTTTCATCACGTGTGTTAACCCCTCGTAAAACTCTCCACAGTTTTACAATTATTATATGATAGGTTTAAAAGCAAACTCTTTAATAACCGTTTTGAAATGACTAAACTCGATATCTTGTTAGGTCACGGGATACAATTGCTATATGAACAGAGTAATGTTTTTAAAATATTCAGGAGTTTTATGTAAATTGTAAAAAACAGGGTGCCAAAAGTTAAGTTGACGGACTATAGGCCAGTAGTAGCTACAGAGCTGTTATCAGGTGTTCTACAGGATCTAACAACAGCTTTAACCAAATTATTGCTTGCCAAACAATATTTGAAGTAATCAATGCAAGTCAAACGATTATATAATCAAAACATCCAATTTGAAGCATCACAACAACATTTTTGTCCATGATTTGATTGGTTGGTTTGTTGTTAAACATAACACTCGGCAATATTCCAGCTATATGGCGGTGGTCTGTAAATAATCGAGTCTGGACCAGACAATCCAGTGATCAGCAGCATGAGCATCGATCTACCCATTTGGGATACAATGACATGTGTCAACCAAGTCAGCAAACCTGACCACCCGATTTGTCACTTCTTATGACAAGCATGGGTTGCGTGGTATCTTATGTTCCAGTGTTTTTACAGCTGAACAACTGACTTAGTACCTTGACTGTGATTCATAAAAACATGCTTCAAATATAGTCAGAATTGTACAATCTGTAGAGATGTCTTTTGATCATGAATGAATGAATGAATGAGGTGAAATTGGGTTTAACGTCGTGCTTGAGAATATTTCGCTCATATGATGATGTGCATGCGTGTGTATGTGTATGTGTGGCTGCTTGTACTAGCCCAGACTTAAGCTGGTTTTATAGTGCTAGCCCACTGAGATACCATGCCGCAGTGAAGCATGAATACCCCACTCAGACACATTATACTGACTCCGAAGCCGACCAGTCCTTGTTGTACCCATTAATGCCGAGAGCCAGGCAGGGACCAACAAGTACCATATTTTAACGTCTTTTGGTTTGACGCGGTCGGGGATCGAACCCGCAACCTTCCGCTCTCCGGGCGGACGCTCTAACCACTACACCACGGAGGCGGTCATGAATGAATGAATGAATTAGTTGGGTTTGAACAGCATTTCAGTTATACATCCTGGCATACCAGCGTAATGTAAGAAAGTTCTCAGTGATGTAGGTCTCTTGGTATGGTGCTGGCAAACCTACAAGCTTGGTGTTCAACTATTCCTCATGACCATCAAATGAAATCAAATACAACTATGTCCCAAGCAGTAAAAGTGCCAAACAACATTCCAACAAAATTGCATTGATCATATTCTGCACTGAGTACTCTAAGAGTAAGAGGCATGTTACACAAATGACAGTTTTCTATTCATTGAATGTAGATTATAGATTAACTGCTATCTGAGAGAAGGTTCAAATTAAATCCAAGTTTGCCATCCAAAACATGCGTCTTTCTTTGCCAAGCTAATGTTTACAGAAGCCAGTGCAGGTTATCAAGTGTATCGCTTGTCATGTGTAACAAGGGTTTGTTCAGTGGGTACAAACAGCAAGCCGTCTAACTGTCTCCAACCATTCTCAGCACTTCACTGAAGCAACAAAAAAATAGGCCAAGTCATGATGGGAAATACAAGGAAGTTGCATTCATCAATTAAAATTCTGTGACAACTCCTGAATAACCATTGTGTTAAGACATGACGTCCAAGTTCATATATATATTTTCACAATAAAAATAGCTTCACTGACAATAGAAAATATTGTATTTTACAATATGGAAATACTTGTCAATTTACATGAAACATTTTGAGTCTGGAAGGTAAATACTGACCACAAACAAGCATGTTTGGTGACAGATCTGTTGCATTGGTTTGCTGAAGCTTGAGAATCAATTTCAATAAATGTTTTTTCAAATATTCAAGGTGGTGATAAAAATGTAAGAGGCATGAGGATCTGTAGTTCATTTGTTTTTCCTGAAACATTTGCAAAATAATAGATTGAATAGGTTGAATTTTAAAATATCATGAATGTCTTAGACAAGATAATACAGTTTATAGATACACATGTATAAGGCACTACACGTGTTAACAGACATGTTAACTGTATACCATAGCTATGGTCCAGATTTCAGTATTTACACGACACCTTGATACTGCTGCAATATATATACTTAACACAATGAATACAATGACTCATCAGATGCCAAAATTATCTATGACAGTATTTGTTAACCTCTCTTCAAATCTCGCGTAGCCCCATAATACACTGACTGACTGACTGACTGACTGACTGAGTTTGGTTTTATGCCGCTTTTAGCAATATTCCAGCAACATCATGGCAGAGGACACCAGAAATGGGCTTCACACATTGTACCCATGTGGGGATTCGAACCCTGGTCTTCGGCGTGACAAGCCAACGCTTTGACCACTAGGCTACCCCACTGCCCCCCATAATACACATTGAAGGACATATGAAATATTTCTGACATGTTGAAGACTCATTGCTTGTTTGTGGATTAACACCGCACTATGTGATGACTATCTGTAAATTAGTGTTAGGAATTGGTTGAAATCTCATAATTGATGATTGCTTCATTACCAATGAACAATCATCGACAAAAATTGGTTAGCGTCATTTTTCAGATTTTCCTATCCAGGTTGTTATTGCAGATATGTATAACTTGATGCAACTTGCTACTTTAAAGTGTTGACTAAGATATCATGAACATGAATTTCCCGGAGTCTTCAAGAAATATTCAGTCATGGTTTTTCAGTTAGTGAAGTGAGTTTTCTAAGAATTAAACATGTTTTCAGGCCCTGACAACTTCAACGATATGTTCCATTGTCAAGTATTTCAAAGACTAAAACAGTAGTTCCAAAATCGTTTATGTTCGATTATGAGAAAATGTGATCGATTGCTTGGTCGTTTGGTCACTGCGACCAATCTTCGATTATCTAAATTAATCGGAACACCACTACTGTAAATACATGTAATTGAAGCTTGGCCAGAACATCCAGGCTTATAGTCTCTGCTTAAATAATGCTATATCTTCCGTATAGTTTGTTAGTTTTTGCTGCATTTAGCAAATTTCCAGCTATATGTAGGAGGTCTGTAAATAATCAAGTCTGAAACTGACTATTCAGTGATCAACAGCATTAGCATTTGACTACACAAGTGTGACACGGTGATATGTATCAACCTAGTCAGTGAGCCTGACCACCTGATCCTGTTAATCACCTCTTACACTGCCTGAGTTTGGTTTTACGCAGCTTTTAGCAATATTCCAGCATTATCACGGCGGGGGACACCAGAAATGGGCTTCACTCATTGTACCCATGTGGGGATTCGAACCCGGGTCTTCGGGGTGACGAGCCAACGCTTTAACCACTAGACTACCCCACCGCCCTAATCACCTCTTACAAGAAGCATGGGTTGCTGAAGGTCAAGTCCAACCCTGCATTTGAAAATTCGCTGAAGTAGGATAAGAAAGCCTATGGTAAATATGTCTATGTCTTTGGTAATTCATGCATTAATGTATTGGGTAATTCATGTGTATTCATGAAATGAGTGTTAAGGTAAAGATGTCTGTCTTTCATTATTGGGCAATTCATGCACATTCAATAGCGAGTTAAGGTAAAGATGGCGGTCTTTCATTATTGGGCAATTCATGTTTAAGAAATATTGATGCAGCCATTCAGTAGAGAGTTAAGGTAAAGATGTTCATCTTTCATGAGTAAACAAATGGGCAATTCATGCACATTCAATAGAGAATGAAGGTAAAGATGTCTCGGTGACATTTCTTAATGTCTTGGGTACAATACCACCATGTTTAAGAAATATTGATGCAGCCTGGATTATAATGATCAGTACCTCTTTATATTAAATGTTAAATTATATTCATATGAGTGATGTAATGGGGAAATTTGAGAAAATTCTCTGACTTAAACCATGTATTGGTTGAACAATTAATGCTCTAAAAGTTTTGCTCACTGACCCATAGCTGTATCAGTGTTTCAGGGTTAGGAATGATCAGCCATTTGCTGACTTAGAATAAACTGCGACAACAATGGTGTGACCTCATCATAATGGATGAATGGGTTCAAAGGCGGTCTGGACTTCCGTCATGTCACAGTGTGTCAGTTTCATGTGAAAGGATAGTGCCTATTGATGGTGATTTTACTAACGCTTCAGTAACTTAACTCCTGGCAAATGTTCAAACACACGTAAAGATAAAACTTCTCACAGTCCCCAAGACTGAATTACGGCCATTACACATATTAACAAGTTGCAAGGTAATGCTCTAAGAAATTTAGATAAACCTATTGCCGGTCTGGCGTCAACAGACATGTCGATTTGAGATTTTATCCCTCAGTTGGAATGTTGAACCAATCCAACGCTGACGGGTTGGTCATCTCAACTGGAATAATTTGACACATTTGTAATTGATTTGTTAAAAAAAAATAAAAATGTGATGGTCGTTTTTCAGCAGCACCCACTGAAGTAAATGAACCACTTACCTTTGACAAAACAAGATGGGATCAGTGTTGATTCAAAGAACATACAATTTCTTGTTTTTAGGGAATCCATTCCATGCGTATGTACGCCTGGTTCCGTACACACCATCTTGGCGCTTCGACTGCCTCTTCCCGTGAAGGAACAAACCCTGGGAGGGGTGTAAGTGTTCCTGTGTGAGTCGTAAGTGGTAAGTCTACGTTAAGGTATGGGAGTTACAATCACCTTTGCGCTGTGATCGCTTTGCACCTCACTACCTTGTTCAAGAACACATAACTGGGGTACGTGCAGAAGAAAACTCAGTGAACGTTCAAGCACGTGCTACGTTGGTTGTGAACTCGTCGCAAGAAAGCAAACTCCCCACAGACCAAACCTTTACCGGACAAACTTCTTCAAATGTGACAGAACATTGTGCGTTCTTCAAAATAATTTGTATTGCTGTTAGTCAGCTTTCGATAAGACATAAATATAAATAATGATAAATTTAAAGTCAAATAGCATTAAAATAGTCTTATTAAATACTATTTGACAGGAATATCGTTTTGATTAAAACGCCTGCACTGTTTTGACTGGTATCAATATCTCATACTTAATGTAAAATGTTTTCTTTTACAGCTATCGACTGTGAATACTTTCACCGTCATGTTAATATGGACAATACATCAACAAAAATTCAACACGAAGGGATCAAGCATTTTCCAAATAATGTACAACCAATTGAAATATGCTGTGTATTCCCTTGATGCCCATGTCTATTAGCAATAAATTGTCTGGACCAATATTTCCCTCACAGCAAGGCACATATTTCTTCAGTTCTCATACTGTAGGTGTCTGCAGGACTCCGTAAGTAAGTCTAAAATATGAATGTTTCCGAGAGAGGTTCTTTAAGTCAAGAAGTCATGGGTTTGATACATCCATCTAGTGTCTTGACCTTTCAATTTGATTCGATGACAACATATCAGACTCTGATGAAGATTCAGAGGAGAAAGAATTGTATTTAGCGACTGCTCGGGCATTCCATAAGACAGCTGAAGATCATGACTCGACAGCGATGAACAGTGAAAGTGCTGGCAGGATGGAAGACTTTTCTTGTGGCATCGGAACCTTCTTCTGGTGGTGACAAGCAGTCGCCATAATTGTTATTTTTCGCGAAAGAAAATCCACATGAAGAATTCGGTCATGGAACTGTGCAAGAACTCGCAATCTAAGACATCTAGGGCTCCAAGAATAACTGATAATCAAAAGCTGGCAGCTGTGGAATTGTTAGAAGCATCTGGTTAACCTGCTCAGCAACTGGCAGGATGTACTCTACCCTACTACTCTGACACAAGTACTGCAGTGTTCCAGAAGGTCAACCAGGAAAGTTTAACCTTCTTGGGTGACATTTAGGTCACGGACCAGGACAGGTGGGGAGATCTCGGACTTTGCAAGACTTTACTTCCAGTGGAGTGCATTTATGTAATTTCTTGATAGCATCAACTGACGAGGGAGTCATTGTTTGGGAGGGAGCGAGTGTGTGGCCAATTTAAATAATAGTTTGTAAACATTTTAGTCAAATCTTTGAAGGTCTAATGAAGTCTTGTAATGTCTAGCTTCTGTCTCAAGCTATATTACTTGTTCAACATAAAAACTATCAATAGATTAACTCAACCACTATAATAGAGTTTATTTTTTAATTTTTCACTCTAATGGAGTCACCAAGAACACAACAGCTTCTCTTTTTTCTGCCTTTCTAATTATGCAATTACACTTTTCTTCTGTTTCAGCTTTGTTTGATAAACGAGTTGGTCAGATACTTTTGCAGTTCAGTTGTACATGTCTTATGGTTGAGGGCTTAGCCTAATGGATAAAGCGAGTTGGTCAGATACCAGGTTCGAATCCCCACATGGGAAGCCCAGTTCAGTTGTATGTTGCTGGAATATTGTTTATCAGTTTATGGTTGACTTGGGTTTTGCGTTGTTGTGAACCGAAAGGTTGCTAAAAGGATTTAGAAAAATAAGGTTAGTTTGTGTTGTGTGAATAGTCTTGTATCTTGTGTATGCCTGTGTATATGGTTATATGAATCAGATAAATTTCTAGGTTTACTTGCAAATTAGTTTAAAATATAAAGTAGTGTCTCAAATTATTAGTATTCATGTATGTTCATAACTTGAGGCATTCTACCAACTATAAATGTTTCTTCCAACATGTTTCTCTTTAAAATCATGCATTTTATGTGAAGATTGGTTTTATATTTAGGCGGTTTGTAGGAGCAGTAATTGTTCAGCTCCACATGTATGAGTTTAGCCTAAAATAACCAGTTAATCGTTTGAGTTTTCACTGGACCAACTACTTTGAGTGTCCAGAAAAAAGTATTTTAACTTGCTTAACCTGTAGTTTACCCGTGAAGATCCGGGTTAGAATTGGTCTTCAGCACACCATGCTTGTCGTAAGAGGCGACTAACGGGATCGGGTGGTCAGGCTCGCTGACTTGGTTGACACGTCATCGGTTCCCAATTGCCAATTGCGTAGATCGATTACAGACGCCAGACTCGATTATTTACAGACGCCACCATATACCTGTAATGTTGCTAAGTGTGGCCTTAAACAATTAACCAACCTGTAGTTTAAGCACGGTGTGAGAGATACTATGTGATGTGTTTTCTTCATCTGCTGGGTATTGTCATTGTATTTGCTCATACATTTATACACAGCTAAAAGGACTGGTTTATGTGCACTGTATCTCTTACAAAGAAATACCACACCCGAACAGCTCATATTTTTTCAGGATCGCAGCCTTGCCGGCTACCACATATATACCAGACAATTCTGACAATGCATAAATAATAACAGTGGACAATATAGTATCCGAAAAACAGGTTTTTTTTATTCCGCTGGATGTAAACTTCCTAGTTGCTTAAAGAAATCGCGTGTCCAATTTGAATGTTGCTCTAATGGCAAAGTACTCGGCAACCGTTTTGAAGAAACTGAAACGACCTTATTTCACGTTTCCACCATTCTGCAAGGATTTTCACGAAAAACCCCAAACCGTGCCCAATAAAGAAATACTGGGTTCTGTGTATGTTATGTAGAGGTGTAAACCAACAATATTCAGTATCCAAGATATTTTTATGGATTAAACTTCTTTGTAATTTCTCTCACTTTCGAGACCATTCCAGGTCCCTTCATCAGGTGAACTGGATGAAGGGACCTGGAATGGTCTCGTCGTGAGAGAAATTACAAAGAAGTTTAATCCATAAAAATATCTTGGACATCAATGTACAACTTCTAAATGCCACTGAAAGACAACTTTCAGTATGTTTATAAGGTCATGTCCAAAGTCTATCATTTGTCAACCTGTAAAGTCAAATGAATAACATTTATCATTTAAGCAAGTCATTGACTTCTTAAGATCATGTGGTTTTGTTACTTCAGATACTGAAGGCATTGAAGTGACCAGGATACGTAGAATAGTGACTATATTTGTCATCCTGTTTTGCAGGTAACACATAAGGTCAGGCAATGTTATTTCAGGTGGTGGCTCAGAACATTGGGGCGAAAGTAAGCTCATCTGTTTAACATACTTGAATTGTTTGAAGTACAGGTGTAATGTTGGTGCTTTGAGCATGCACGTTTGGAGGTAAGTGAAAATGAACTACACACATTATTATTAGTATGATCTGTTTGGTAAGACTTTCACTGCACTTGGCAAGAAACCCATAAGTGACCCAGGCCAGACATACATGGCAATGCATGGGCATCCTGGTGCTGAAAGCTGACAGCTGACGCACACATGTTAACAATGATGGCATAGGTGGATCTAGGAATTTCCAAAGAGGTGTGTGTGTGTGTGTGTGTTTTGTGTGTGTGTTGTTGTTTCAGCCAACTTCCCCTTAGCTCCGCCAATGCGTAACATTAACTTGTGTGTGTGTGTGTGTGTGTGTGTGTTGTTGTTGTTGTTGTTGCTGTTGTTGTTGTTTCAGGGTTCAGCCAACTTCCCCTTAGCTCCGCCAATGCGAAACATTAACTTCAATGTGGTCTTTAGTCATGTTCAAAGGGGTGGTGGTGGTGGTGGTTCGAACCCCCTGAACCCTACCCTTGGATCCGCCAATGGATGGTGCTTGTTGTTTGTCTCTTTTGTTTTCATTTGAGGGGTCTTGTTGACCCTTGTCATGTCCCGCAAGTTGTTGGACTTGAGGAAATGGCAATCACTTTGATGTTCAGTTTTCCATTAACACAAAACTGCCTCTAAAGAAGCACACAAGACACCTAAGATATGGTGATGATTTATTATAACCAATAACAGGAGCTCTGAAGTGACAATATTGAATCAGCAAGTCAACACCACAATGGAAAAGGTCTTGGCTACACAAACAAGTTAATGCACATTGGGATGGTCAGTTTATTCTATGGGTAAACACTTGAAAGGAACCATAAAGTCCACACTACACCGAATCTAAACCTTTCTCACAAAATATATAGTTCTTTCTGACCATCATTCAAGTGAAGAGGACATGCACCTTGACAAACGACAATATATCAAGATTGCATGCACAAATGTAACTTCATGACTTTGTGTGAATGCACCTTTTTTTAATAATTGTTTATTCAGAAGTTTGTTTATTGAAAGTAAAGTCTGATGTTTGTGTCTTAAATCATTTCAAATTTAACTGCAAATACATTGAGGCCATTATAAACTGGAATTAGATTGAAATTCTGCTGGTTGATCAGCAATGATTTGCTGGACTGACTGACTGAGTTTAGTTTTGCGCCGCTTTTAGCAATATTCCAGCAATATCACGGCTGGGGACACCAGAAATGGGCTTAACACATTGTGCCCATGTGGGGAATCGAACCCGGGTCTTTGGCGTGACGAGACAACGCTTTTAACCACTAGGCTACCCCATTGATTTGCTGGATACTGACTATGACGACTGACTGAGTTTAGTTTTGAGCCGCTTTTAGCAATATTCCAGCAATATCACGGCGGGGGACACCAGAAATGGGCTTAACACATTGTGCCCATGTGGGGAATCGAACCCGGGTCTTTGGCGTGACGAGCCAACGCTTTAACCACTAGGCTACCCCACCGCCCCGATTTGCTGGATACTGACTATGACAATATGCAATGCAGCATCCAACTGAGCAAAAAGGTCTTGGACAAAAGATGTAAATATACATTACATAATTTTGACTCCGACATATTATACACTAAAAAGAGGGAAAACATTAATCTGGCCTTGATATGATATGCATGTTAACAAAAATGAAACCACTAATAAATTCATAGATTTGTACCCATTTAAGGAATCCATTTTCCATTGGTTTGTGCTGC